GATGTTTTAACTGCCTTTACAAAGTTTAACTGTTTAACAAAGCTAACTTGATGTTTTAACTGCCTTCACAAAGTTTAACTGTTTAACAAAGGAACCTAACTTGATGTTTTAACTGCCTTCACAAAGTTTAACTGTTTAACAAAGCTAACTTGATGTTTTAACTGCCTTCACAAAGTTTAACTGTATAAGGAACGCTAACTTGATGTTTTAACTGTCTTCACAAAGTTTAACTGTGTAAGGAACGCTAACTTGACGTTTTACCCATCGTCAAAGGTTTGTATTACAACCATCAACCATGCTATGATTAATAACGTGAATTGTCGCTGAGTCACGTGATTAATATTTCTACAAACAACATCCAAACTGACGGCTAGATTTGCATTATTAGAAAGAGGACAAACTTTAGAAGTAATTACGTGATGTAATGTTTGTAGTTAGAGTTAAAACATCACGTGAATACAATATAACACTTTGTTACCATAGTTACCAAACTTTAAATTAAAACTTTACGTTAATATAACGAACTGTTCTGATAGTCACTAACCATCACGCTAATATAACAAACTGTTCTGATAGTCCCTAACCATCACGTTAATATAACAAACTGTTCTGATAGTCCCTAACCATCACGTTAATGTAACAAACTGTTCTGATAGTCCCTAACCATCCCGTTAATGTAACAAACTGTTCTGATAGTCCCTAATCATCACGTTAACGTAACAAACTGTTCTGATAGTCACTCACCATCACGTTAATGTAACAAACTTTTCTGATAATCTGTTTTCGTCTTTACACAACCTTGTAAAGGGCACACATTTATGTGTAAAAGTTACACGATTATTTCATGTGTAAAGAACACTCTCCTTATGAGTATGATTATTTAAAATATTTTGTACAGCAATGTTTTATCAACATTATTTTCTAACACAATAGGCGTAATATAACCATACTTTTAGCATAATGAGTTTATCACTGGAATCTAAGGTAAGTTACTCTGGCGTATTCGAATTGTTTTTTTAAAAACGCCTATAAATATTTTTTTATTTTAACCCCTTTCAGTTATCTTTATCCCTTAGAGATCCACCTAGTGGTAAATCATTAGACTATTTTCTATTTTTTTTTTTTTTTTTACAATGACGCTTTGGATGTTTTTTTTTTTTCTATAGGGAAGATTTAAACATTAAAAACAGTAATTAACGATTCTCCATAACCTTATAAAATCCAATAACCTAGAATTAGTAGATCATAAAATGACACAATTAGTAAATTTATGTCTGCATATTTTCCTTAATAAGAAGTTTTTTTTTATGATAACTTTTATCTGATCACACACTCCAGGCAACAAGTCTGACTAAGATGTGTTAATAATGCTAAGCCTAATTCAGTGATGTGAATTTGAGGAGTGCCAGCTAGAACATTAACTCCTTGGTAGAATATATGTAGTGAATGTAGAGCTTGGGTTACGTCCAAAACTGTAATTTCCGTGAGTTATGTACCTCAGAGCTTTTGCTCTTGACATAGATCACTCCTCGTAAATCAAAACCTAGATGTCGCTTCAGTCTAACCGCACTGAGGACCAAGTCACGGGCAAAATTTTTTTTTCCTTCAGAGGCCATAAACACTCTCTTCTCTGTACATTGTCTTACTATTTCAGACCCAGATTCACACTGCAGCAATACTGACAACTCGTATGTCTCTTGAGGACCCCCTGTTAAGTCCAAGTCGTCCACCTCTGGTCTTACTACGTCCGTGGGGGCCCACCATATCTGTTCATGGTAGTGAAAGTTCCCGGTAGGTTAGTTCAAACCCAAACTTTAAGGCGCCATGCTAGCAGCTTTATTTTGCAAAATATACAGTTAAATATTTTTCTCAACACGATAGTTTATATTTGACAATCTAGTGTTACTTATTCCGTAGATAATAATGGTTGAACCGAATCTGTATTGGTTAAAATGACAGTTGAACTGTTCTTTATTAACCGAGTTAATGAAAAAGAAGCTTAAAAATATGTAATAAAACTAAGTCACTGGATATATGAACAGTTAGTTTTCTTAGTTTAAGTTGAAATGAAACTGTGGTTAAGAGATAGTCATTTAATAGCATTTTATAAGTACGTGTGAACGTAGATTGCGGCAGATGTATAGAATATTACTTGAATAGTTGGCTATGACTCAATATTCAGTAGAATCTACGTGTATACCCGTAGTGATAGATTGCGGCAGATGTGTAGAATATCACTTTAATAGTTGGCTATGACAATATTCAGTAGAATCTACGTGTATACACGTAGTGATAGATTGCGGCAGATGTGTAGAATATTACTTTAATAGTTGGCTATGACACAATATTCGGTAGAATCTACGTGTATACACGTAGTGATAGATTGCGGCAGATATGTAGAATATCACTTTAATAGTTGGCTATGACAATATTCAGTAGAATCTACGTGTATACACGTAGTGATAGATTGCGGCAGATGTGTAGAATATTACTTTAATAGTTGGCTATGACAATATTCAGTAGAATCTACGTGTATACACGTTGTGATAGATTGCGGCAGATGTGTAGAATATTACTTTAATAGTTGGCTATGAAACAATATTCAGTAGAATCTACGTGTATACACGTAGTGATAGATTGCGGCAGATATATAGAATATTACTTGAATAGTTGGCCATGACTCAATATTCAGTAGAATCTACGTGTATACACGTAGTGATAGATTGCGGCAGATGTGTAGGATATCACTTTAATAGTTGTCTGTGACTCAATATTCAGTAGAATCTACGTGTATACACGTAGTGATAGATTGCGGCAGATGTGTAGAATATCACTTTAATAGTTGGCTATGACACAATATTCGGTAGAATCTACGTGTATACACGTAGCGATAGATTGCGGCAGATATGTAGAATATCACTTTAATAGTTGGCTATGACACAATATTCAGTAGAATCTACGTGTATACACGTAGTGATAGGTTGCGGCAGATGTGTAGAATATCACTTTAGTAGTTGGCTATGACTCAATATTCAGTAGAATCTACGTGTATACACGTAGTGATAGATTGCGGCAGATGTGTAGGATATCACTTTAATAGTTGTCTGTGACTCAATATTCGGTAGAATCTACGTGTATACCCATAGTAATAGATTGCGGCAGATGTGTAGAATATCACTTTAATAGTTAGCTATGACACAATATTCAGTAGAATCTACGTGTATACCCGTAGTGATAGATTGCGGCAGATGTGTAGAATATCACTTTAATAGTTGTCTGTGACTCAATATTCAGTAGAATATTAAATAAATCAAACGTATATGAATAACGTGTCTGTTCTGGTGACTATTAAATTAGTAAAGTAGCAAACATCAGTTAATAAAACGGTTTTTGTATTAATTGAACTTTATTTATACACACATATATATATATATATATGCAAGGAACGCCCAAAATGTCTTCCAAGTTTGATGTTACAATAAAAAGACAACATTTTTCACTACACAAAAAATCAATAATTGTACAACGGTAAAAAAGAAAAAAACAAAAACGAAAAGGTACAGTGGAACCACTAGCAGACATTTCACATCGAATGAAAAGTGTTCTCTCTTTCCAGTCAGAAGTGTTGTTGATTTACAGTCAGAAGTGTTGTTGATTTACAGTCAGAAGTGTTGTTGATTTCCAACCAAGAGTGTTGTTGATTTCCAATCAGAAGTGTTGTTGATTTCCAGTCAGAAGTGTTGTTGATTTCCAACCAGAAGTGTTGTTGATTTACAGTCAGAAGTGTTGTTGATTTCCAGTCAGAAGTGTTGTTGATTTCCAGTCAGAAGTGTTGTTGATTTCCAGTCAGAAGTGTTGTTGATTTCCAATCAGAAGTGTTGTTCCTTTCCGAGAAGAAGCGTTGTCACTTTTACAAGCTAGTAATCGGGAATCCACGATGCATGCGTAAACATTATATGATTGGATTTTAACTCGACTTCACTGTTGTATTTTATTAAAGAAAAAAAAACTGTTGAGCAATACAAGTTTATAATATCAATGTTATTAATCCACTAATCTTCTTGAGGTGATTAACACCAATGTTTTAAATCCACTAATCTTATTGAGATGTTTAACACCTATGTTTTTAATCCACAAATCTTCTTGAGATGTTTAACACCTATGTTTTTAATCCACTAATCTTCTTGAGATGATTAACACCGATGTTTTAAACCACTAATCTTCTTGAGATGACTAACACCAATGTTTTAAATCCACTAATCTTCTTGAGATGACTAACACCAATGTTTTAAATCCACTAATCTTCTTGAGATGACTAACACCAATGTTTTAAATCCACTAATCTTCTTGAGATGATTAACACCAATGTTTTAAATCCACTAATCTTCTTGAGATGACTAACACCAATGTTTTAAATCCACTAATCTTCTTGAGATGATTAACACCAATGTTTTCTTACTCTGCCAGGCCATTTCATCACAAGAAAACTAAATTTGATTCAGAATGGATACGTTTTGATCTGAAGATCACCAGTCAGAACCGATGTGTTATTTCATCTAACGTTTATTCTATATAATATGGACGGCTTTAGATCGATTCACAGGACATAATTTAAGAAGAAGGATCAGCGTGACTACCTTCACTAATTCTCGAGGATTCGGGTACTGACAGGGTAGAGGTCTCGATCTGCCGCAGACCGTGGGTCAGACTGTGTCGGCGAAGATCACAGTTCCGCCGAAAGACTTTGCCACAAGACTCACAGTTGTAGGGCTTGATATCGGTGTGTGTGAGTAGGTGGGTCTTCAGATTACTCCTCTGGTTGAAGCTTCGTCCACAAGTGGGGCACTTGTGGGGGGAGTCCTCCATGTGAAGGATCCTATGAACGGCCAAGGTTCGAGACTGACAGAATCCTTTACCACATTCTGTGCACTTAAAAGGCTTTTCCTTCGAATGGATGTACCTGAAAAGATTAATATTGTTCAGAGTTTGGAAATTCACGATATTAATTGTACTGTTAGTCTGGTTTTATGTTTCCGGTGCTAGTAGACGTTTTCTGTTTATTGCACGTTACTCGAATCTGGAGAGAAAAGCCCTCCGATTCTTTCAAACCGTCATTAGAACTTATGTAAAAGTTTCAGTAAAGGAATAAAGTTCGAAAGGAAATATTATAAGAAATAATATTTGATTCAGTAAATCTGCACTGTTTGAACTGTTATCATTAGAGACCTTATTCTATCTCACATAACTACTTTATATAAATTTGACTGTAATTTCTGATAGGTAGTGGAAATGAAATCAAAAAATTGTTTGGAAATGTTAGTCAGGTTTGATGTTGCTTTCGTTTTTCAAAGTTAATGTAAATCTTATTCATGAACTCTTTGTGACAGACAACTAAACCAATATCATCTGCGAGACCACAGGTAAAATGCTTTCATTTCATGTTGTTTTTCGGAATGCTTTGTGACAGACAATTAAACACAACATGAAATGAAAGCATTTTACCTGTGGTCTCGCAGATGATCTTGTCTCCGAAATGCTTTGTGACAAATGTCACACGTGAAAGGTCTTTCGTCTGTGTGTGTCCTTTCGTGGATTAACAGGTTGTAGGATTTGGTGAATCGACGTTGACAGTACTTGCAGATGAACTCCTTCTTTGGTCTTGATGACATCCGACTCTTAAAGAGGCGTCTGTCTAACATGGTAGCCGCTTCCAAAGGTGTCCTTCCAAATAATGCTGGGTGAATTGATGGAGGATAGATCGGATTAACAAAATATTGAAGCGAATGACCAGAGGAGGTGAAAGAACTGGGATCAACTGTACCGGGGGATCTATCGGGACTAATATGGGAAGTGGATGTCAGGAGATCTGGACCACATTCGAGCTCTGGTTCTTCCTGAGAAGTAGCCGATTCGGCAAGGTGAGCAAAGTCAAATTTCTTTGTCCTTTTTGTGGGCAGTAGAAGGTGTAGGAGAGAGGGGTCTACTGTTGCGGGCTTAGATGTCGCCGGCTTGTCTATTCCACCAGTTGAGTTGGTTGGACACCGTAAGCCACCCCCCATTGCTAAGTTCAGTGAAGACGGGACACTGTACGCTAGGCTACAGCACCTTGATGTCGGAAGGTAGGTTGTAAATGACGACCTCGCTGCCACGGGGAGTGGGAGTAGAGGTAGTGGGAACATCAGCGACGGTGAGAGAGTTGTACTGGGAGTCTGGGGTAGCATGGAGATGGTTTGTGGGGACGACGACGTGGAATCTGAAATGCTCTTCGGTGTCAGCGGTGGTGTGGGAAATAGCCGTTGTCCGTCGTATCGGTCATCTAAAGTGAAAATACACGGAATATAAATAAATGTCGTGACGTCTCTTCTAACAGATGATAAGCAAGCTTCTTTACACAGTCTCGTACCAACTGACTACCGTTTACTGACTCGTCATAGGCTTAAAGAGATTTGGAGAACACTACTGACCCTGCTTGTGGGAGGCGGAGGCCCTATACAGCACGCGCTCTTGTCTGACCCTTAACTAACTAGCCTAAGGTACCACCCGGTGACAGGACCTCCGACGGGGTGCAATTAGGTTCCCCAGGAAGGTTGAACTGTAATCTGGTTCTTCACTTCTGTTTAAGACAGGAAACCAGGTATAGAATCTGACTGGAAAAGTTAATCTCATTAAACCTCAGTGAAATATTCATTTTAGTACACAGCAGTTATTAAGGTACAATACCATTATTACTTTTAACTAGTTGTTCTTTCGGTACATCATGTGGTCTTTGATCTCATTACAAACTGAAAATAGTAATTACTATTTATCAATAACAAAAATACTCAATTTGTGTGAGAAGCAAATGATAAGAACAGCCACGTTAAACACAATAACATATGATAAGGGTCATTACATTTAACACAATAACATATGATAAGGATCATTACATTGAACACAATAACATATGATAAGGGTCATTACATTTAACACAATAACATATGATAAGGATCATTACATTTAACACAATAACATATGATAAGGATCATTACATTGAACACAATAACATATGATAAGGGTAGTTACATTTAACACAATAACATATGATAAGGATCATTACATTGAACACAATAACATATGATAAGGATCATTACATTTAACACAATAACATATGATAAGGATCATTACATTGAACACAATAACATATGATAAGAGTCGTTACATTGAACACAATAACATATGATAAGGATCATTACATTGAACACAATAACATATGATAAGGATCACTACAATAAACAAAATAACACGTGATAAGGACCACGACATTAAACACAATAACATATGATAAGAATCAGTACATTAAACACAATAACATATGATAAGGACCACTAAATTAAACACAATAACATGTGATAAGGATCATTACATTAAACACAATAACATATGATAAGGACCACTACATTAAACACAATAACATATGATAAGGACCACTACATTAAACACAATAACATACGACAAGAATCACTACATAAAATACAATAAAAAACGGCAAGAATCACTACATAAAATACGATAATATGCGACAAAAATCACTACATAAAATACAATAATACACGACAAGAATCACTACATAAAATACAATAATATACGACAAGAATCACTATATAAAATACAATAATATACGACACGAATCACTATATAAAATACAATAATATACGACAAGAATCACTACATAAAATACAATAATATACAACAAGAATCACTACATAAAATACAATAATATACGACAAGAATCACTACATAAAATACAATAATATACGACAAGAATCACTACATAAAATACAATAATATACAACAAGAATCACTACATAAAATACAATAAAAAACGGCAAAAATCACTACATAAAATACAATAATACACGACAAGAATCACTACATAAAATACAATATAAAACGGCAAGAATCACTACATAAAATACAATAAAAACGGCAAGAATCACTACATAAAATACAATAAAAAACGGCAAGAATCACTACATATAATACAATAAAAACGGCAAAAATCACTACATAAAATACAATAATACACGACAAGAATCACTACATAAAATACAATATAAAACGACAAGAATCACTACATAAAAGACAATAAAAACGGCAAGAATCACTACATAAAATACAATAAAAAACGGCAAGAATCACTACATATAATACAATAATATACAACAAGAATCACTACATTAAACACAATAATATAAGACAAGAATCACTACATAAAATACAATAAAAAACGGCAAGAATCACTACATAAAATACAATAATATACGACAAAAATCACTACATAAAATACAATAATACACGACAAGAATCACTGCATTAAACACAATAATATAAGACAAGAATCACTACATAAAATACAATAATACACGATAAGAATCACTACATATAATACAATAATATACAACAAGAATCACTACATAAAATACAATAATATACGACAAGAATCACTACATAAAATACAATAAGATATGATAATAGCGACAAGCTTTCTACTTGGATCAAACACTGCAATGTTTGATTACTTTGTATAAATACTAAAACATTTCGTAAGTCAGTGATATGTTACCAGTGTACTGTTACCGTGAGCCGAGTTCGAGCCTTTAACAACAAAAGTCATATATCACACATAAACTTTAAATAAAAACCAAAATAGATATGTAAGTATTTTAAATCTTTAATATAAACATGTTTAACGTTTCAGTACCGGAATACCCACTCACCTAGAGGTAATATGAACAATTAGCGGTGATATGGATTATTAACAAACCCTAGCGGTAATATGGACTACCAATAAACCTAGCGGTAATATGGTTTTCCAACAAACCTAGAGGTAATATGGTCTACCAGCAAACTTAGCGGTAATATGGTTTTCCAACAAACCTAGAGTTAATATGGACTACCAACAAACCTATCGGTAATATGGTTTTCCAACAAACCTAGAGTTAATATGGACTACCAACAAACCTAGCGCCGGTAATATGGTTTTCCAACAAACCTAGAGGTAATATGGACTACCAACAAACTTAGCGGTAATATGGACTACTAACAAACCTAGCGGTAATATTGATTACCAACAAACCTAGCGGTAATATGGTTTTCCAACAAACTTAGCAGTAATATGGACTACCAACAAACCTAGCGATAGTATGGATTACCAACAAACTTAGCGGTAATATGGACTACCAACAAACCTAGCGATAAGTATGGATTACCAACAAGCTTAGCAGTAATATGGATTACCAACAAACTTAGCGGTAATATGAACTACCAACAAACCTAGCGGTAATATGGATTACCAACAAACTTAGCGGTAATATGGACTACCAACAAACCTAGCGGTAATATGGATTACCAACAACTTAGCGGTAATATGGACTACCAACAACCTAGCGGTAATATGGACTACCAACTAACCTACGGTATATCGGTACTACCAACAACCTAGCGATA